GTCGCTCCCGTAGATATTTTCCTCCGAGACAGCTCTGAGACTCCACCGCTACCTTGAAGCGATTAGTTGAGATCACCTTGACCCTCTTCGTTGGCCGCTCCCGTAGTTATTTTGCTTCGAGGCGGCTCTTCCTTCGAGGCAGCTCTGAGACTCCACCGCTACCTTGAAGCGAGTGGTTGGGATCGCCTTGATCCTCTTCGTTGGCCGCTCCCGTAGTTCTTTTGCATCAAGGCAGCTCTGAGACTCCACCGCTACTTTGAAGCGAGTGGTTGGGATCGCCTTGATCCTCTTCGTTGTCCGCTCCCGTAGTTCTTTTGGTTCGAGGCGGCTCTAAGACTCTACCGCTCATCGGGGCGGCTCTGAGACTCCGTCGCTTCATCGAGGCGGCTCTAAGACTCTTCCGCTCTTCGAGGCGGCTCTAAGACTCCGTCGCTTCCTCGAGGCGGCTCTAAGACTCTTCCGCTCCTCGGGGCGGCTCTGAGACTCCGTCGCTTCCTCGAGGCGGCTCTAAGACTCTTCCGCTCTTCGAGACGGCTCTGAGACTCCGTCGCTTCCTCGAGGCGGCTCTAAGACTCTTCCGCTCTTCGGGGCGGCTCTGAGACTCCGTCGCTTCCTCGAGGCGGCTCTAAGACTCTTCCGCTCTTCGAGGCAGCTCTGAGACTCCGTCGCTTCCTCGAGGCGGCTCTAAGACTCTTCCGCTACCTTGAGGCGGCTCTAAGACTCTTCCGCTCTTCAAGGCGGCTCTGAGACTCCGTCGCTTCCTCGAGGCGGCTCTAAGACTCTTCCGCTACCTTGAGACGGCTCTAAGACTCTTCCGCTCTTCAAGGCGGCTCTGAGACTCCGTTGCTTCCTCGAGACGGCTCTAAGACTCTTCCGCTACCTTGAGGCGGCTCTAAGACTCTTCCGCTCTTCAAGGCGGCTCTGAGACTCCGTCGCTTCCTCGAGGCGGCTCTAAGACTCTTCCGCTACCTTGAGGCGAGTGGTTGGGATCGCCTTGATCCTCTTCGTCATGACACATGATCTAGTTTGCCTTCCCACAGACGGCGCCAAAATGATGCTGCTCCAAAATGTTGGGTCAGCCCAATGGTTTTGAAGCCCACAGATCTCCTAAGTCCGGGAATCTTCAAGCCCAATATCAGGAATGCCGAGAGTCCTTGCCACGCGTCCGAGGTAGTCGAAGGGATCTCTCCACTCGTTAACCTACAAAACAGTTAAAAACACTAGGTGACACGCCGGGGATGGCCCGGCGATTGTCCTCCGACGCTCAAGTCAGAAAACTATCACAATATAAGCAAATAATATTAATTACTTGCCTAAATAGTGGTTACCTTGTTATGTGATTGATAACACATATTTATAGGTGGAGTTTGGTATGGTTTTCTTGTAGAAAACCAATGTGGGACAAAAACATTAGATTTCTTTTCATAGCTTCTTATGAGGTTCTTAATTAAGTGCCTTTGTATTGGGTTTTTTCTTTGAATGAGCCTCATGGGCTTTTTGGGTTAAAGCCCAATTAGGCACATCAATACTGAAATTCATAGTAATATTAATTGTAATATGCTAACGGTAATGCTAATGCTAATCATAATCTTAATCCTAATGCTAATACAAATATTAGTATTAATAATAATACTAAACTAATACTTATATGCTAATGTTAATGCCAATACTAATGCTAATCATAATATACTAATGCTAATGTTAATCCTAATATAATAATTCTAATATTAATATACTAATGCTAATTATAATTCTAATTCTACTGCTACTGCTAATGGTAATGCTAATACTAATACTGATGCAACTCAAATAATGATATTAATATAATTATGACCGAAAATGAAGGATAAATAAAAAGTAATTATATGGAAATTATTAAACAAAAATCATTACAAACAATAATAAACCATCTACCAATTATTACCAATAATATAATTTTCTACCCCTTTAGATTTTGGAATAATCTAAGAAACTATAAAAAAAAAAAAGTATAGTTGAAAACATTATTGATTTAGTTTGATGGGAGTAATTTGAATGAAGATTATAAGGAGTAATTAATTTCATATATAAAAACGAATTGCATAAAATTAGGGGATATGTATCCAACTAACAAAAAATTATAGCGATGAAACATACGTAGTGCCAAAGTTGAAAAATGCGTACTAAAAAAGTTTTACTTGATGTTTTAATATTTTATTTAAATTAAGCTTGAAAGGGGATCTAATTTTATAAAATATCGGATCCTACAACTATAAATCCCATTTCAATAAAAAAACATTAAAATTTAAAAGAAACGTGAGGAATATTAATGACATGTATTTGGATCGATTGGGTGTTGAGGAAAAAAAATTGGAACAAAAGAAGGTGGAGGATCGAGTGCTGAAAATTACATATAATTATTAACACTGAAAGATAATTACATATGATAATATGAAGTAGTTGGATCAAGTGCTGCAAATTATATATAAATATTAAAACGGAAACATAATTGGATATGATAATATGAAGTAGTTGGATCGAGTGTTAAAAATCACATTGTTGTGGGAGATTATATAGCATGGATTATTACGTAATTTTGGAAATATTTTAAAATTTTGAATTTTGAATTCTAAAATGAGTGACAATCTAAAATTTTGAAATCATTGATTATATAATGAAATGATTTGATTTGATTTGAATTGATTTGGAAATAGTTAATCATGGCAGTTAATAAATATGTATTAAGTTAATTTGGAAATAATTAATTTTGATTGACAACTAATTGAGCCATCTAATCCGAGAAAAGTTAAGCTACAATAAAAGACATAATTTATCTTATTTTATGATGCATATAATATGGAAAAAAAATATAGTTATGAAAAAATGTAAAAAATGTCATTATTTGATATACACATAATCCTAAAATTACTTTGAATATTCATAAAAAATGGACGTCCGAACTAATATATTTGAATATTCTTAATGTTAATGTAGTAATTTATTCAAAAAAATTTAAGATTGAAACATAAAATAGAAAATTATAATGAATGTAAAATATGTAAACTATAAGAAATAAAATAAAACTCCAAAATTGCACTAATGAAGCAAAAGTACAGAAATTGTTTGTCTTTATTATTTACAAAAAAAATAAAAAAATTCAAAAGATGATACATGTCAATTGTGGTGAAACTTGTACATACAACAATATTGTCCAATCCTCTTTTCAAAATCAAAGAAAAGTAAAAAATCTTTGATTTCCACGTTTCCACATGCAATACATGATTCAGTGTCAATTTCTTTCATTTATGTTTGACAAAAGAATAATCGATTTTCGGATAACGATAAATATATAAGTCAATTAAATTAAAAAAAAACTAAATACAAACTTTTACATAAAAAAAGAAATAAATGAAATTACAAAAAGTATATGCAAACCGTACAATGTAGCACATAGGACATAAGTTGGATTCGTAAACAACATCTGCAAGAAATACATAAAGAAAAAGTATTAGCATAGTTCTTCAGTTAAATAAAAATATTAAACGGATTTAAACCATCTAAATTAAATTATAATACGATAAATGCATGAAATCAATTGAAAAAAAATTACAAAAAAAAAACCAAAAAGAGAAAACGAAAAACAAAAAACAAAAACAACTCGAATGGAATGGGTGAAGAAGAATAGTGTAGGGTGAAATAAATAGATGGGGGTTTATATAGTTTTGATAAGTATATAGTAATTAGGAAACTTTTTGAATTCAAATTTCAAATGACATGATTATTGGTGGAAAAGGAAAAAGGAAAAGGTAAGAATCAAATCAATTCAATTCGGATGATTTAATTTCTATTGATTAGGAATTAATTTTAAAATATTAAACAATATTTATGGTTATTGAATATTTTCATTAAACTAACTATATCAATTAAATATAATCATCTTAAATAGGTAAGAAATCAAATTTCATATCATAAAATGTATATTCTGATTTTAGAAAATTTTAAAATAAATAAAACACACGGCTTTTTTTTTTGTCTATTTTTTTTTTTTGTATTTTAATAATAAAATTATAAATTTCATAATATATTATTAATATGTTAATTTGAAATCGAATTTTAATGCATTATTAAACAATATTAATATATTTTTTTTACTATTTTTTTTATTGAATGGATATTCGAATATTCCAGAATATTGAAAATTAAAAAAAAAAAAAACAACTGTATTCCTTTATTTTAATATTTGAATATTAAAAAAAAATCTGAAAATTATTTGAATATTCGTAAAAAAATTGAGTGTACTGAATTTTTTTAAAAAGACTACCAATAAATAAATTTTAAAATACTGGAAATGTAAATAAGATTTTTTTTATTACGAATTTATAAAATATTAATTTTGGAAATAATATATATACACGTGGTAATTGTTTAAATGAGTGTATAAATGTTAAATAGGAAATAACTTAAATACATACCAAAATAAAATTGACAACTCACCAATTGAAGAATCCACCTCATCAATTGAACTCCAACTAAGCAATTTTGATAAATGATATCATCATTTGCCACATGTCATGAGGGCATAGATCCTCTTTTTATATTATGTATAGATAAAATAAAAATCAAGAAAAAAATATCAACGATGTTAACCCGACATTCAACATCGGTCAACAGCAGCAAAAAAAAGATCAATCGAAAAAAGAGTCAACCGAGTTAAAAAGAAAGTCGACGTCGGATTACCAAATTTTGAAAAATCGGGGTCAGTGGTTAAAATTGGTTAGTTGATGACATTGGGGTTAAATTATGGTTTGATAAAATTTTAGAGGTTTTTATAATATTTTGAAAGAATACATGGTCTTATTGCAATTTTCTCAAAGAAAATGTGTTAACGGTCAAACAGACGGAGGGACTAAATGTGTTAAAATGTGACAACATTAGTGTGTATTTTGTTCACGACGGTAAATGGAGGACCAAAAGTGAAAAATGTTCAAACTTGGGGGACCAAAACTGTAATTATCCCGCTATTTGCTCTATAAACATTGTAATCTCATAGATTGCTATTTCAAATGTAATTAAGCATACATTTTAGGGATCATGTTGTAAAAGAATCTATTATACACTGATCGTGAATGTAATACCAGAAATTTACATAAAAAATGGATTGGAGGTTGAAGATTTACATCTTTCAGCACACAGAAAATGACTTCATTTATATTTGATGATGAATAGTAAAATATCTAACGTAGATCAATGACATCAAAATTTAAAGTAGAATTCATATAGACATCTGTACAATGTCTGTATATTGGATCTCCATTAGAAGGAGGGTCATGGGAATGAAACCCGCGCTTTGGGCAGTGCCTAATGACTGTCATTCCACCTGAAGTCAACCGGAAAATCCCGTGCTTTCTGATACAACAAACACATACATCGTTATTCATGTTTCCAATTTTCAATCAAAAGCAATGAAAATCAGACAAGTAACCTTGAATTGTCTCGCGGTGCCATGACAATGGCAATAGATTCTGGCAACATTATCTGTACAAGAGACGACCATTTGTTTGTAAATGAAAATGTCAAAACATATTTGCACAACTAAATAAACAACACATTCTTCAAGCTCATAAATTACTTGATACAGATAGTTAGAACTCATAGTTGCTGCCTGAAGGGGAAGTTTGAGATTAAGCTATACCTGATAACAATAGTGCGTGTGTACATCAATTGATGACATGAAACAAGATTGCGTAGGATGCGTCTGCAAATGAAAAAAAAAAAGGATAATCAAATACTTGTCCTCCATACAATTCGAAAACCAGCATACTGGCGGATAAAAACCACAGATTGGATGGACAGGGTGAATTGTCATCAAGCTACTTGACGCATGAATTTGAAATATGGATAGCAGTGCTCGAAAGCAAGAAAAAGCAAATAATTCATTTATAACCCCAGTGAAGCAATGAGCGGCAGACAATAAAATCACTAAATACTCATGGAAAACATAACAACAAGCAGATTGAATAGTTACTTCTAACTGAGGAAGCATCATAAATGCATCTTGACAAACGATAACAATAGTAAACCTGTTTAATAGTTATATCTTTTTGCAAAGAGAGAGTGAGTTCCTAGGTTTAACAAAGTAACAGCAGGTACTCACTGGATAGCCTGCTCCTATATTTACTATCTTCTTCATTTTAATAACTGAGTGAACCTAATGTTACACAGCTATTCACATTTCAGTTTTATCTTCTTTTAGTATGTTGGATGCATGAAGGCTTAGTTCCTAATTGATATTTATCGTAATCTTGTCAACTCGATGAGGCTGCTCAACAATGTTAACTATTCTGGACCACTTAACTCTGAATAAGTTTAAGAGGAAAATTCAGTATTCTAGTCCAATCATTTTTTCACAATCGGGTCTCCAAAACGCCATGAAGGAACACTGTTCATGGTTGCTCACCAGGAGTGTTTACTCACTTTTCCTTATCCTAATTCTTTCCATTCAGCTTCGAAGCATTGCTTTGAGAATGAAGGATCAGGGCTAGTTGACATCGCTGGGAAAATATGGCAATGAAATCAAAATAAGGGGTTCAGTTTTCAGTACTCTGCCACTGCTACAGTGAGAAGATGACTGAATATTTTGGAAGGTGAAATGAGCAGATTGATGGAAATGAAAGCTTATAAATTGGGAGAATAAATAGTTGGGAGAAAAAAATAATATCAAAGTCAATTAATTCGAACTATGACAGAATTGATTATTGTTTCAACAATAAAGTTATGTAAACGTAACTAAAAGCTCATGAACTGTTTGCATACAATCTTGAAAGTGCTTAAGCTCAATGGACTGTTGGCTCAAAAAATACTGGAGCTGTCTTCAGCTGCTTGGATCCTATAGTTTTTTTTTATTTCAACTTAATGCATTTCAAGCCAATTTGCGAATGTCAGAAGCCGAAATGACTAATTTGCGCAACAAGAGTTTAAAATTGAGAAGTTGAAACACATTCTAAACACCGGTGATAATAAAAAATGAGATGTAGGCTAGCTCAAGCCCACCCAAAGGTAGAATATACACTTACATGAATCCATCCTAGAGGAAATAGACACTGCTTGTCTTGCACTTCAAATATTTCTTCCTCATTAGTCGTTTGGCACTGCATAATAAAAGTGGTTGTGTATAAAATTCACACATAATCAACTTGTGATTTTCTGTAGGCATGTGCACACCATATCTTACCGAATCTGGTGTTGATTCTTGCTTTGGAATAATGAGAGCCGTGATGTAATATTTTCGGTTTTTCTGTGGCAATTAACAAAAATGATTTGTGTTAGAACAAATATATAGATAAATAGTCCCATGATATTAAAATGATCACAGCTATAATTCTCAATCTTTGAGCCGAAAATCAAAATTTTAGCGATACTTACAAGTGAACCCGCAAGGACGCCACATGTTTCTAAGTTTTTATTTGTGTTTGGCTTAGCTATCTTCATAAAACTGTCCATCAATTTGGTTGGCTGATATAAGAACAAGTACCATGATCAATATCTAAGCTATTTAAGCTTCACTAAACATACAGATGTTTAAGAAGATAAATCGTGCTCAGACAGGAAAACGAAAATTTGCATTGACAATAATACATAAAACCTTACTAAATGCAACTGCAGGGGATCTTCGTAGCATACTAAAGCATCATTGGAAGCATCGTCCATCCCACATTCTGTTCGAGCATCAGACGGGATCAAATCTTGTACATCTGCTAGAACAGGAGGGGGAGAAGGTTGTCTAATAATATTGGTTTCTAAAGAACTTTCTTCATCTTCAAAAGAAATTAGAGAATCAGATTCTTGAATCAGGGGCTTATTATTTTTTGGCTGAACTACAGATTCCAAATTTGATCTTTCTTGTTCAGGTCTGCTTTCATCATCTCTCTCCGTTGTCCCATCTTTGATACATTGCTGAGTGTCGCTAACCCTATAAGGATACAAAACATACTTCAAAAGTTACGATACATCCAATGAATAGAGAACAAGGGCTGAAATATTATTACTGATAATAAGATTACTGAAAATCGAGTTATATATCACAGAGTCGCATGCTTTTTATATCTAAATTCTAACATCAAATAGTAGCTTTCTAGAAATTCAAATGAAATAATGGCCTGATATTAGTTTTAACCTTGGGATCTGAAGAGGAGTGAAGTCTACACTGCTTGGATACTGAACCTGCATATGAAATAAAATCAAAAAAGCTGTTGAAATTAATAAAATGCAATATACAGCAGGAGATCGTCATACCACCTTATAATTACTAGGAGGTTGCCATTGCCCACGAAGCCCATTTGGGCCCAAAATAGAATGTTTAGAAAGAGTTTCCTCTGTTGGGCGGGGAATACTTAATGATCTATGGAAAAGCAAAGAAAGATTGAAAAAACATTGAGAAATATTATCATGATAAATCCAGTTCTTTATAAATGTTTGCTTCCTAATGTTACACATGAAAATGTCAGTCAGAACATGAAAAGTGACCCCATGATAGTATTAAAATCTTATAAAACGTTTGACATAATGACAAATGATAATCGTAAGTAGTTTCCAAAAATGCATATTCTCTTTTGCACAACGAATGTGAGTGGTGACAAAATGGAAACTTACATTCTGCGAAGATTCTCTTCTACAGCTTTCGGACCTTGATATCCTAATTTGCTAGTAACAGGTTGTTGTCTCTGTACGATGTAGAATAAAGATATAATTTATTTGTTGAGGAGAAAAATCACACGCAGTACATAGGAGAATTTACGAACTTCCTCAATACCATGATTAATAAGTGAAGACTAATCATAAGTAACATGTTTCAGGCAAAATTTAAGACTAAAAGGTACAACATTGCAATGACACAGTAGTAGCTGACTATGTGCAATAACTATACCTTATTTGTACTGTAACCATTGAAGTTTTGTTTGATTGCAGGCCATGCAACTGAAGAATCCAGCGAGTCATCTTGACGAGGATTTTTCTGCTTATTTAGTTGATATGTTTGTTTAATGTGCAACTCCTGAAGTTTTTCTTGGACAGCTGGTTTCAGTTCCTCAAGCTCAGTCAGTGCAGTTATTAATTTCTGCAGTGACACATTAACGAAAATAACAGGCTTTAAAAAATTAACCAGAAAAAAACATTGCAGCAATAACACCAACATCAACAGTACAATAAGAGTAATAAAAAAATGAGCAATAGTCGTTAGTTGTTACCCTTTTGAGAGAAAGTTTATTTCCTTGTGGAGATGTCTTATAGTCACGATGGCAAGGTATTGTCTCAGTCACCAAACTAAAACAAACGGAAGGACAACAGGCAACGTTCATAAGATAGGTTTTTCCATTAAAGAGGAATTGAGAGTAACTTAAGCAACAAATATAGAAACAACATTATTCCTCACCTTGAAAACCGCAAGAGCATGACATACAAATCAATGATATTATTTTCTTCACGAAAGATGTCAGCCTACATGATGAAAAATAGGAATAAGTCCCGAGATTGTAGGAAATAAATAAAATGCATGATAGATACATCTTATGACGAGGAAAAACAATGATGAGAAACAAAGGATCCAATCAATAACGTTACATAAAAGCATAAATACAAGACATAAACTTCATGAAACTGAAATATCCAAAAACCATTACCGATAGACTATTTCGGCAAAATATCAGTTCTCCAGCACTCAAAAAGTGCTGACACTAATAAACTCAAAAGGTAAACTGAAACCATCTCAGAGTTCAAGCACAAAAATATAGAAGTTCATCTACAAGAATCGAACTACCAGGATGTCTTGTTAAAAGAACAATATACCTAAATTATCAAGATTTAGTCAAACATTGACATTGTAATTGCCACTCGTGTAAAATAAATAAACAAAGGTAAAGGAAACAACAATAAAAATATATTATATATATATATATATATATATAATCTGCGAGGTAGCATAACAACAAAATTAAATTTCAAAGCAATGCAGTACAGTACATATCAAGAAAGCATCCCCATATTTTTAAGGTTTAATCAGATATATTCACAGTCAGAGGAAATATGGACCACCCAAATGGCCCCATAGCACATGCTTTGCATTCTAACACTAGATAGAGAACTGATCTATTTTCAAGGAAGTGATTATTCTGAATAAGTTCATGATGTTTGAATAAACTTATAAAGAACTGTTTCCACCGGAGCACCAAGTATTTCCAACATTAGAATTCTGCAAATAACTTTTGATGCACAAACTACAGATGGAAGGCGAAGCAAAAAGGTGATGGGTGATTAGAATATAGGGAATGTAACATCTAGAATATACGGATCTATCATCATCATAGAGCAATTAACTAATAATAGATCAATAATAATTAATGGGGCTACCAACCAATGAGACGACTGGTACCAATTCAAAGATTGTGGAGATTACAACTCCAACAGTAACCATTGGTGATTTAGCGAATCTCTAAGGCTACGCCTGGAAAGCTTTTGGTAAGGCTTTTCCTTCCTCCAGTCAAAGACCAAAGTCATGCTCATCATTTCTTGCCCCAATCACATTTTTTTCTTCTTCCAAACACAATAGTACCCACAATACAGCATCATCATTAAGTTTTGTAATTTCTATGTTATTATAATATGTGTGTCTGTTTGTGTGTGTGTGTGTGTGTGTGTGTGTGTGTTTATGTTATTTTTCAAAATTTAAAACATACAATATTCGAAAAGTATTATGTGACACAACTATCCACATAAGATGACATCTACAGCACAATTTGTCTACTTTAGCCTGAAAAAAGATCTGGTTCAGTATATAGCCTGCGGATCAGATTTAGTTTCTCAAAAGTTTTCACTGTAGATGGCATTAGTAATTTCAGTCATTCCTCATCAGGCTACAAGAAAGTACAAAAGAATAGATCGTCAAAGATTCAAACTCCTTTGACTATGGTCTCGGCTAAATCAAACAACCACCAGCATAGGCTATACTTGGTAATATTTGGTTTTACTGGGGAAAGTGTTCTGAAAAAATTTAGAGATAAAGCAGTAATTTTTGTTTGTGTTTTTTGTGGGATAACTTGGACGACAGAAATCATATCATGTAAAGCTGTATCAATAAAGTGGTGTCACATTAGTATTTTTCCTGTTTCCTTTTTTGGTCATACAATGTTTTTAATGTAAAAAGGAGATGATATGCAATTACAGTAATAAAACAATTTTCAAATTTAATGATTATGCTACGTAGTGGATCCAATTTGGGCTCTCATAATTTGAAATATTAATGATTATGATGCATTGTGAGTCCAATTTTGGATTTGTGATGGTGTGTTTTGCGGGATGAGTGTGACAAAGACATTTTTGATCCAGGGGAAAAAAGACATTCAACCAGATGCTAACCAAACAAGGCTTCGTGAAACTCTAACACAGAATGCTAAAAATGTTTTCAGAACATTAGCTTCGTGCCTAATCATCAAGATTCCATACACTATTAATCCTTACGATGTCCTAATTAGAATGCGCTCTACATCAATTCAGAATTCCAAAAAATCCAAAAGTTTCATCTTCTAACTCTCGCACAAAGCTCTACATCAATTCAGAATTCGGGATAGAGTGCTTATCAGCCAAGGATTGGCTTTATCATCACCACATTTGCTAAATCCCAACCTGGGTACTCTACAAGAATCGACACAGTGGAATGGTCTGGCCAACACGTTGTTGACTAAGAAGAACGGATTTAAGAATCTCAGAAGTGTGTTGATAAGAGTGCATCAAAACTAGTGAAGATGAACGAATGCATCAAAACATAACTTAGAGATTACAATATGTTTTATTCATGTATGATTTCCTGAGATTAAGTCCACTATAACTGAGATCACAATTTGATAAAGAAAAAACAACAGTAATTAATCCTACTGAGGCTCAACTAAGAGCTCATAAAACATGTCACAAATACTGGACCAAAATCCAAAAAATTAAAGAGTTCAATTTGGCATTTTCTTGCAACAAATTGTAGTCTCGGAAGCACAGATAGAAAACAAGAAAGAAGGTCAAAAATTGAGAAGGGAAGATGGGTGGTGGGTTTACCTTCTTGAGAATATTATGGGCGATGCGGTAGTAGTAGGAAAGAGTAATCCGATTATCAACAAGGACCTTCTCAGTAGTAGCGGAGATGTTAATTGTTCCTTGAGAAGAAGAAGAATATGAAGAAGAAGATGAAGATCGAGCCGCCATCGTTGATGATTTGACTTTCTGCGATTTTTGATTTGAAGGTGGAATCCGAATTAGCAAACAAGTTAGGGTTCAGTGGAATTTAATCGTCTGCTTTCACTTTCATTTTAGGTTTTACTTCTCATTTCTTCAACTCAATTCCGGGATAATTCCCCTGTCCCCTCATCCACCATTTTTTTCCCTTACATATAACTAAGCTATTATTAATTTATTTTCAGCACATTTGGTACATTTCCTATAAAAAATTATTAATTTTTTGCTTCTTTTCAAGCCCATAGGATTTGATCACTTCTCACCATTATAACTAGGACCGGCAATTGAACCGGGTCTAACTGAAGCCCAATGGCTCGGTCCAATTATATTTGAACCGAGCATACTTTATAGTGAGTCGGGTTGAATTTGAGCTATTTTATTAAACCCGATTTATTTATAAGCCGAGTTTGAAACTACTATGACTCAACCCGAATAAGACCCGACCGATTAGGTTAATAATAAAATATATAATATATTTATTATTTTAAGGGTTTTTTGTGCATAAGTCCCTGATCAACCATTTTTATTATTCTAGGTTCAGGGGTTATATCTCTTTCACCATTAAGCTCATCCAATAAATATGTATTATAAATAATTGAAAAATTAATGTATATGACAAAATTACCCCTAACCAGTTACACCAAATTCTTAATTGTAACCCCGATTTAATCAATTTTGACCACAAAAATCCAATTTTAACTTGTTTCTTTCAAAAAAAAATTTTGAGAAATTATTTTTTTGCCGCTGGTCTCCGGCGTTGACTTTTTGTTTTTGATTTGTTTTTTCCGCCGCCGGTTTCCATCGTTGACTGATGTCTGACGTTGATTTTTTCTAGTGGGTTTTGTATTTTATTTTTTAAGTCCGCCGCTAAACGTTGACCGTAATTGTGTTGTCATAAACAATAATTATACTGTCATTGATAGTAAATTAACATAATTATATTGTCACTAAAAGTACATTAGCATAATTGTACTGTCATTCACAATATATTTATTGTTAATATTACAGTCAACAACAACAAAAATTGTTGTTTAAACAAGGGCAAAAAGTTGTTAAAGAAAAAAAATCGAAAAAAATCAACGCCGGACACCGATAACGGAAAAATCAGGAAAATAAAAAAGCGAAAAAATCAACGCCGGAAACCGGCGAAAAAATTAGGAAGAAAAAAAAAGTCAAAGGCGGTAACGGACGATATTGTCCATAAAATTGTGTTTTGGGTTAAAATTGAATAATTTATAAAATTTGGGGTCAAATTGAGGTTAGTTTAATTAAAGGATGGAATTGGAGCATATTAAAATGTGAGAGCTATTTTAGTCTTTTACAAACCTCTAGATCATGTGTGGACTTTTTCGTGAAAGAGTATATTGTCTGGACCCATTTATGAATAAGTACCCATTGATGGGCTTATTTGTAGTGTCATTATTTTAATGTTATGACAACACTAGTAACCATGCCCCGTGCAACGCACGGGGAATTATTACAAAAGTGTAAAAAGATAAACTTAATATGTTGAATTATATCGAAATAAGTAATTGAGAATACATCACACTAAAAAAATTGTAAAATGTCGAGAACTTGGTCAATACAATTAACAATAATTTTCACTATTGAGCAATCACACTAAAAGCTTCATAGATTATCGTAGTCCAACATACTATCATTTCCCATGCTCCGTTGTTTCTCAACATCCTCAACATTGACATTTGGGGAAGCCGTGAAAAGTGTATAAACCAAAGAACAGTGAAAAATATACTTTGAAAAATATAATTGACATTTCTATGTACCAAATAACTTGTCAATATCATACTTTTGTTATCATCAAATAGCCACACAACTTCACATTTCTACGTTCAAAGAAAATTATTGTATTAGACGTCCAGTTCTATGGATATATATGCGTGAAGTCTTACCATTCAAACTAAGAGCTCAAAGAGTGAAGTCTTACCATTCAATTGTTCGTATCTTTCTTTGAAAGCTTTTTGCATATTGCATATCCCTTTTGGCATTCTTAAAGGCTTGATACTCGTAAAAAATACAGCGTAAAACCAAATATACAGCTATTATGGAAAAGATTTTATCGAACTAAAAATGAGAAGAATAAATTTAAATACAATTATTTTGCAAAAGCTTTAATATGACTGAGTTAAAAAAATTGAATACCAATTCTTAGAAAATATGTTAACCGACTTCACCGAAAATACCTGAAAGAATAACAGGTATTTACACTCAACCTTATAATTTTGTTGATCCCCTGCCGAACAACGATTTGTGAAAATCCAAAGAATACTTAGGCAAAAAATCAGACAAAACTAAAGATTAGCTAAAGTAAAGTAAAAGGCTTACCGCATCCTTGGTTATTGACAACAATTACTGCCCAAATTGACCTTACAGATTAAGAATTCCATTCAAGAACAGACAGTAAATGTGATGGTGCGAAACTCCTTAATAAGCGTGAAGAACATAAGCAGAGAAAATTTATTATTTTGTCTGTACTTCTTCTTCCTTTCAATTTTGGGATAGAGGATTAGAAGAATCACATGTATTAATGGAATCGCGATAGCGATGAAGATATTAAATGCGGAAAAAGAAAATGGCAAAAATAACACGGGGTCCGGAAACTGTCTAATACAATAATGATCAATGAGTATCAACACATATTATATTGCATAGCAAATTATAGATTTTAGATAAGCAACACAAACATTATGAACGAATTTCAAAAAATGGATCTTCAAAAATGGATCAGTGAAGATGCAACAACATTGAGAACATATAGAAGATAGATATTATGTTAATTTTCTCAAATAAATATAATGAAAGTCCAAATATATTTGTTTTATGCCGAACCGATTCAAACCAATAGACGAAACCGAAACCGAAAATAAACACCGAATTGATACCGAAACCGTTAACCAAAAATTGAAACACTAATTAACACCGAACCGAAAAAACCGGCAATTCAGTTTTTAAAATATAAAAAACCGATATTATGAGTTCGTGTTTGTTTATTGCAAAAACCGAGTCTTGCATACCCCTACGGCCTACCAAAAAAATTCTTGCAAGATTTATTAATAATTAATCCCCAATCAAAATCGAAAAATAAAAAGGAAGAAATAGTTGTACCAGCTTCTTACATCAGGGTTCTTTAATGGGCTGCGCCATTCCTGTCCAATTTTTTCTTTTACTTTCCGAATGGATTCTTAAATGTTGGGAGTCGGGACAGATAAGATCGCTTCTTAGCTCTTTTCTTCGAAAGAAGTGCACTTGCACTTACAATCGCAATAAATATAATTAGCGAAGAAATAAACTTGATAAAGATGAAAACCCCTATGTATAATGCAGTATAATTAGATGAAACATCAGTAACAATCCACAAACATAGAATCTACACAGCAATAAAAAGAGCAACAATATAATCGGAGTTGTATATTATATTATATATATATCATATAAACCCAAACACACAGCATATATATACACATCAACAAAGGTAGTAGTTTTAGGAAAGTAAAAATACCTATGTTTGTTTTATATATATATATATATATATATATATATATATATCAATTCGATGCTGCAAGACATGGCAACATGCTGCATAAAAAAAAATCAATAGCAACATGATGAAACACCGTAAAAAACTGGTAGAAGTAAAACAACATATAACATTGTATTTTTTGTAACGAACAAAAGATATTTGCAGGCTTCGTAAAAAAACTCGCTGAAAATAAAACCGGTCGCCTACTTGCGCTAAAAGCAATATAGTACTTCTGCATGTTTCTTCCTCTTCCGAATTTATGAAGGATCTTTTTGCAAGAGGGAAGTAGAGAAGTGGTGTATGACGTGGGAAAGAAGATGAACAAATATGGAGAACGTGGGATGAACACAATAGCGGTAAATAAATTGAAGATGGAGAAGATATTGTTCAGTTGGGCGGTTTTTTCTATAGCCGTTTTTATGAGTGGTGTGTTTTTTTCTCGACGGTTTGTCAAACGTGTAACCGATGAGTAGGGAAATAGGAAATCATTATATGGTAATTGACAAATTTGCCCCTAGGTTTAGGTTTAGATTTGTAGGTCAAAATATCTTCTTTTTATATATAAAATACAAGTTACAACCGTACAAGACTATTTTATTTTGCAAAATAAAAAGAATTAAGTGGTGGCGGTGGCCATAAGGAGAATATGAATCAAATGCAAAATACTCACTGAAACCCAATTGCTGAAATTTATCACCGAGATTTGAGAATATAAAACGTTTCCAATAATAACAGTTCTAATCATTTTTTACTTCTTTCAGTCTTGTTTTATAAATTTTTCCAATAACTTTCAAAGATTGTTTTAGGGTTTTTTATTTTTTGGCATCAATGGAGGTAAATCTTGTTTATTAATTCTTTTTATAATTTTTTGTTACTCATTACAGTTATATAGTAATGGGGTCCGATATAAACCAAACTCGAATAAATACATGAGCCGAGTTTGAGCCTATACTAATGAGGCTCGATGGTATGTGAGCTTGAATCTATGCAATGAAGCCCGATGGTATATGAGCTTGAGTCGACCCAAGCTCGATTCACATGGTCCGATTGACAGCCCTATTTTATAACCCTATGTCTTGATCATTGTATTGAAGCCTATAGGGTCAGGTAACCAACCACCTTATAAACCCTATATGATCCCTTCTTACCGAAGACCGTAGACTAAAATTATCTTACTTTTATAACCATATACCTTCAATATATTGATAAGACATGCATGCAATGAAAAATTATCGGAAATCTCTTTGAAAAAAATCAATGTAAGTTCAACAAATAACCCATATATTACGAACCCGAACTAACTACGCGGAATCAAACTACCCCTAGGTCCTACACTACCGACTCGACCTACCCTTGGTTATTTAACCGAGACTTAGAAAAATTTTCCAAAACAATTTTATATTTTTAAAACCATGACACTTATGCACTCAACACATGCGCCCTTCTACCTACCATTTTCTCATTTTCACACCTAATGATCAATACAAATAAGCAAAATAAGATCACATAGCAATTTTCAAATAAGCACAATAAGACCAACAATCAAGTACACTCAAATAATTAAAGATCTTATGCATGAAAAACTTCGCTATTCATAACCAAAGTTCTTATTTTATTTCTTAAGAAGTCTTTCATGAATAAAATTCAAGATCATCAAGTTAAAGCTAATTTTGTAACTCTTCGCCAATTAACATAAAAATGCTAGATCTTAACATGCCAGACACTAGATCAAACAATTTCATCATCGAAGTATTTTTTCCCAAAAAATTGAACACTACATATGCATAACAAATTCTTCTTCTTTATAAATTCCACATGCATCAACATCATTGTTTCATCAAATAAGCAAATATAAAGATTTCACTAGTTAAGTCAAAAATTCCAAATATTTTTACCAAACAACTATCAACTACTAGATAATCTCATGCAAGACATTAATTAAATCAAATACACCATCTAGGCCATTTTCCCCCAAATTTTCGAAAAATATAGAACTTCAAAAAAAAACTTTTCCCCTCAAGATATTAACATGTAATCATGAATAACGTCATTAGGACACATCAGCGGCTTATTCCAAGTGTCCTCCACGATTAAATCAGCTACGAGCTTAACGCTCATTTTTACCTTCTTGACAGCACTAAATGCCAACTCACACGTGTGGTTTTTCTCGTACGTGCGGATAATACAATATCCGGTTGAAGGTTGAATTGTAGCATGAATTCTCCACAAAATAATTATCAATTCTCTAAGCTTACAAACTGCAGTCACTCTCTTCGTATCGTTTTTTGATAAAATTGAATCCAAATCCAAGCTCATATGCAAACTTAGCCAAACATATTCTAAATTCTGAACGTCCCCCACGAAAAACTTGTCCGACATCGGCTATCAGATTTATCTAATGTGAGCTAAGCAGAGTACTACGGGGGGGGGGGGGGGGGGTGTGTTGCATGGGGGATTAACTACTGCTTCAAATGTAGCGAGAGGTAACACACTTGACGAACCTACCATAGAGCTGTAACTAGTAGCGGACGTACCAAGAGATGCATGAACTTCCTTCACAACAATTTCAATCCTTTTGAATCGACCATTGTTCCACAATAATAAATAACCCTTTTACATCTTCATCATCGTTGATTGAAAAAACACCAATCTCAGGGACAGAGGACGATAATGACAGGTTATCAACACTTAAAGAATTCCATCTTGAACAAACAAAATGCACAAGATTGGAAAAACTCATCCCTCTTGTAAAATCTGTGATCGAACAAAATGCATCATATCTCAATAACAACACAATAGAACTAGTCATCCTGCAATTTCATATAAAACATAATTACACTGTTAATAACAGTCACATTACTAATACATCCAGTAAATCCGTGTATACATTCTATTATACTGCCAATGACAGCACCATTATATAAACACTTGCAAACTAACATAGGAAAACATAATTACACTGTTAATAACAGTCACATTATTAATACATCAAGTACATCCGCATATACATGCAATTATACTGCCAATGGCAACAACATTATATAAACGCTTGCAAAAGAAACATAGCAAAACATAGTTATACTGCTAATAACAGTCAAAATGCATAAACAACGAGCAAAATAACATACACATGCAATTATACCGCCAATCACAACAGCATTATATAAACATTTCAAAAAAAAAAATAGCGTGAAAACAAAAATACACAACAAACAAAAAAACACATTTTTGTGAACAGTCATTGAACGTCCATACATCATGGTGTTCAATTTACTAGAATTTAAACTATACATATATCGATGTTGACATTTGTAAATTAAAAAAACATTCGCATGGACATAAAAAAATTAACACACCTTCTTTGAAAATTATACTTCAGCAGATATGATCGGCGGTAAAAGCTGGAGAGGACGGCCGGCGAGATCCATCGCGAAACAGCTAGATGTAGCTCAGTTTCAAGATGCAGAGGTACAGAGAAGAATTCGGAAGAGAAGAGAGAAGAATCGCGCACAAAACATGAAAAACGAGCATAGGGCTTTCAATTTTCAGATTATATACAGTGGTAGTTATGTCCGAAAAAAACACCCTTGCCTTGATTTTAAATAAACTTTTAAGTAGTGGATTTTTTGCAAAACAAAAAAACTGGATGTCTCTTTTCTAATTAAGTCCATAAGTCATGAGTTTATTTGCCATTTACCATTTAATTAAAGATAGGGTTAGTTTAGTAAATTCCCGTTAGGATCTAACTGTAAGATTTTTTTCAAAATTAGCGCAGAGGGTTTTTTTATTTCCATACGGAGTGATTAGCATTTGAAACTATGGTTTGAGGACTTTAATGTATTTATCCCAAAATAGAGGGAAAAAAAGAAAAAGAAAAACAGAAACAAGTGTTGGATTCGAATACCCCAAATAGAAGGTTCATTCGATGCTACACCCGGTGAAAAACACCGGGTGGAGCTTCTGCTGCCCCGCGTTCTTTGTTTTCTATTTC